GAATTATAGTTAAGGTAGTGCAAATTATAAGAAAAACTTGTCAGTAAAATAAGCTGTTGGCGAAAAAACAGCCTATATAATGTTTATCTATGAATTAATTATCCGTGAAATGAGCTTGTCTGCAAATTAGTTGTCAGTGAGATGACACGGATCCCTTGGCGGTGGGTTTGTTAGGCGAAGTATATTGGTAAGGTCAGGCTTCGCGACTGAAGTAGCAATGCGTTTTTGCTTTGACTTTTTGTAACGATTAGGCTTCACAGCTGCAGTGATAAAAAAAGTTAGTACAATTATTGTTCAAAAAAAAAGATCGGATCGGAGTCGATTTTCCGAATACGTTGTAACCTTATCGTTTTAGTATAGTTTAGAATAGTCACAGGATTACTTTAATTAGACTTTTACTATGTATATAAGGAGGGATATTCTTTGTAAATAGATAGAGTTTAGGAAGTACTTCTTTTGTTTAGTGGGATAAGGGAGATTTGAGAGGATTATAGTGTACCGGGTACACTTATTAGGAAGATACTTACTTGTATCGCTCATATTTCTTGTACTTTTAATGTCTTGTACGCAATAATAAATAATTGGTTTCTTACTGTTAATGCTTACGACCTGTAGTTAAATTGGCAGTGCTGTTATAAAGTCTCTCCCTTGTCGTAACAACGTATACAATATTGGGCAAAATTTGTCGAATAAGTGTACATTATTCGCATTTATTATAATTATTATTGTCATTATTGCGACGTATTTCAGAAATAAATGGGAGCATTAAAAATCTTGTGTTTCAAATTTTGAAATCGGAAAATGAAATGGGAATGTTTGGAGAGACTCCGATTTAATAAAATTAGTAAACGGCTCAATGACAAAGATCATTAATTCAAATTTATTGGAAAATGAAATAAAGTTGATACATCGCTCATTTGAAAATGAGCACGTCACCTATTTCTGTCAAAATTAGATTCCCGCACTTTATTGTCATTATTATTGTCATTGTAATTGTCATTATTATTTTAATTTGTCTCCTTCAATTTATTTGATTGTCAACAATTGAAGAAGATGGTAAAGACCCACAACGATTAAACAATTTACAGGAAATTGGACAAGTAATTTTACCAAAAGTTTCAATACCATATAAACAGGTGAACTTTGTTGATTTCAATTTGGCATGATAAACTTGTATTTTTTTTAAAAAAAAATTTAATTCTAATTCTTCTAAAAAAACAGTCTGATGAAATTTTGGAAATTCTTAAACATAGACAAATAGAACTCAATGAGAACAAAATGTATTGCAGAAAAATAGAATTTCTGTAGATCAATTAAAGGAAATGTTGGAGAAAAAAATTTAAATCCTAGTGAATGGACACCGGAAAAGTTGGCTTTTCAATATAATTTAGATGTTTCAACTATTAAAATTTTGTTGAAGCATATAAACACTTTTATGTAATAAATTAAATGGATGTCGTTTATTGAGAAACAAACAAATAACGAAAAAAATAAATTTACATCGTGTATCAATTTTTTCTATCTATTGTTTTTTTTACCATTATTTATATTATACATCATTTTGGAATTCTTGTTAATCTCTAATTGGCATAAGTCACTTTGGAATCATAATTTGACGTATGTTGAATAATGATCGGTATGTCGTCAACGATTATAATACCGGATAATAAAAAATACATACAGTACAACAAATGTTAAAATAAGCAGCACGACGCACGATATTTTTTATTTGAATATTTATTCCAGCACTACATGATTGATAATCATTTTTTTTAATAGTTTATAATGAAATTAAGCAAACTCCAGTAAAATTAAGCAAAGTCAAATTTACAATAATTGAATTATATTTATGGCGACAATAAACCGCCAGTAATTCTAAGTTCATATTAATGTTATTGATTGTTGCATTCACCCCGCAACACAACAGAGAACCTTGTGAATACAGATAATATAATTAAATTCACCGTCCCATATTTATCATATCCACCTTTAAAATATATAATGATAATATTTGTAATTAAAAGCCTTAAATACAACTAAATAAATTCTTACTTAAAATGTGCAAAAAGCTTTCTGCAATTATAGGCCTTATCGCAGGTACCCGTTTGTTTGCACGTCGTGTAATACATATATTACATTATTTCACTGCATTTTCGACAATAGTTTGAGGAATAAAACAGTATTGCAGTATCTTTGCTGAATCTATATATTCATAAATTATATATTATTTAGTAAAATTTTTTTTCTTAGATTACAAATAAAATATATACTTACTTTCAACCACTTTTTTTCCTGTATCCTGATGAGATCACAACATAAAAGTCTTCAAAAAGACAAATTTGTGTACCACGATCGTGATTTTCCGTTTTAAAATTCAATTCTTCAATTATCCCAACTTTTACTACCATAAATGCATGAAGAATCCAAAATTTAAATTTTGGATTTTCATGTATACTTGAAGGATTTCGTAAGAGAGTCAGGCAACGATTATACTTTGAGCGATTCATTATACGCCGTTCATTTTTACGATTACTCATATGGTCGTTAACTATTTTTTCAAAGACCTGAGGTGAAATAAATAGATAAACTCGTAAATTATTTGAAATAAAGATATTGAAAAAAAATATTTTTCTTTATATATATTTTTTTTAATCTTGTGGTTTATGCAAGTTTATTATATTAGCGTTTCAGTTTTTACTTTCCGCTTTCTGATTATATGAGTGATGTCAAGGAAAAACCTGTCATCGGGCATTCAATAATATTTTGTATTGGACTCAATCTATTTGATTTATTATTGATTGTATCCGGTATTATGAAAATAACGTGAGTAACCTTATATATAGTTTAGTATAGTTATAGGTTACTTTAATTAGACTTTTATATTGTTATACTATATTTACGTAAATATTATATAGCTAATTTGAGTCTAATAACCTGTATATAAATATAGATATTCTTTGTAAATAGGGATAGTAGTTTGAGAAAGTACTTCTTAGAATATTTTAGAGGATTATTGTGTACCGGGTACACTTGTTAGGAAGATACTTACTTGTATCACTGGTATTTCTTTGTACTTTTAGTGTTTTGTGCGTGATAATAAGTAATTGGTTTCCTATCTTTAATGCTTACAACCCAGAGTTAAATTGGCAGTACAGTTATAAAGTCTTTCCCTTGTCGTAACACCGGTACAAGATAAAATCAAAAGCCCGATGACAGGTTTTCCCTTGACAGCACTCGCATCATGTACGTACGTAGTATGCAGATTAATTTGACATACGTCATATTCCGATCGGTATAAATCTTAAGACCGTGTATAACATTGACCGGGGTAAAATCGCCACTCAAAAAAGTTTCGACCATCACGGGACAAATATAGAGCACCTAAAATTCATGTAACTTGAACAAAAATTATAAATGAAAAAAAATTTCGACTAAAATAATAACGATAAACAATTTGTTTATTTCGAATAAACTGCAATAAACGTAATATTTGAAGTACAGTCAACTCTTTCTATAACGAACTGAAGATTTTGGAAGAAACAAAGTTCGTTATATAAAATTATTATGTTTTCTTAAGAACCATGCCATTTTTTATACCGTACTATTATGAAATTTCAAAATTTTGAGT